ATCATCGAATTGGAAAACTTTATTAAACGTCTACTAAGAACAAAATTAAATCATTTATAGACATGGAATAGATGGATTTAACGTACCGGACACGGAAATCGAGCCGACTGGCCGTGAAGTGCTTGCCGCACTTCGAGTCCTCTTTGAGAGAATCATTCGTGATGATGAAAAAACGAGTCTAAACCAGAAGACAAAGACAAGTATGCACTTGTAGTTGAATAAATGTGATTCAATATGGATTTTAAATCAACACTACTAAATGCCAAGTCAAAAACTTTTAAATACTAGATTATGTATTAACAATCAGTTGTTCAAGTATCCAAAAGATAGTGATCTTTAATTTTAATCATACAAAATTTAAAAATCCTTTTTTGGAAGATATCTTAACTTTTCCAGTGTTGCTCAGATCTTATGAAAAATCGATAATTGTATCTTAGAGAAGTTCAGTTAACTATGAAACGTTGGAGTCAAAGCCTTTGGTTGTACTGTGTTCCTATTGAATACAGCTTTCGAAGAAGAGTAAACTCGTTAAGATTGGTTAAGTTTGAGACGATCTCCCAGTAAATCCGTCATTACTTATTAGCCGGTCTAATATTTAGGTTTGCAAGTTGTAAAACAGTATCTGTTGTGCAGAAATGATCGGTCTAGGATCTAGAACCAGGCCAGAGTTGAGCCAAAAGCCAGAGCGGCATTGATCGCTGCGCTCTGAGCTTGAGCTAAAACCTGAAAACCCAAGCTGACTAAAGAATAAGCTGATCGATCTAGCTCAAGACCGATCTAGCTCAAGACCGATCTAGCTCAAGATCGATCTAACTCAAGATCGATCTAACTCAAGATCGATCTAGCTCAAGATCGATCTAGCTCAAGACCGATGTACCAGCTCAAGTTACTCATCACTGGAATTTGTCTTTTGAGTACTAAACAAAACTGTATCCTTTATAGATATTAGCGCGCCTAATAAATCAACGGTACTAAATGCTAAGTCAAAACTTTAAAATACCAGATTATGTATTCACAATCATTTGTTCAAGTAATTTCTGTATCCAATAGATTTTATTAAATAGTGAAATGTATATGTGGTCGATGGAAAGTCCACACAATCGCTTTTGTATTAGAGGCGAGGTGTTTTTGTGATCCTGTTTGAAGAGTTTCTCTCGGTTTGAGAAATTTCTTCACCGGCACTGGGATGCCGAAAAATCGATATATGACAATTCGATAGTGCTAAGATTTGTAAGAAATGATTTTTGATTGCAAAAACCTTTGTCACGAGTAGAATGATCGGGCAATTGAGGAGTGAATGGATACAGCTATGAAGGGGAGCAAGGCAGGTTATCTGAATGAACGAGGCTTCAGAAATTTTGTTTAAAATTTGAGTAGACTTATGAATTTGTCGCTACTTGTTAATATTTATTGAATAAAGATCAGTTTTTTCAATTTTGATTATTGTCATTGCTAATTTTGGCCAGCTTAGCTTAGCTTAGCTTGGCTCACAGGTTCTAGAGCTGGGTTGAAACATTTGATTTATATTTTTTTTGTACTAGAGCTGATTGAATTGACAAAACGGATGTCTATCTATCACAAGATTTTCTATATTCGACTTGTTGATCTAACTTCTAGTGGAAGAAGTGATGGAGCGCCGAACATTGTTGCGAGATAGAAAACGAATGGAAGTCCAGCAGTTAACGCAAAGAGAACTATCTGAAAACTCTTATTATTAGTTTTTTATGTAAAAATAACAGATAAAGATATTCAATGATCACCTGTAAAATCATCACGTGCCACATCTGTTTCCGTATTTGATTTGTTTGATTCGAGATGAGGATTTCGCCTGGAAAATGATTTTTAGCCGAATCTTTTTGGATAGAATTTAGTTTTCTACGATTTTCTCCATAGTTTCTATAGTTTGTGTTCTTTTAAATCAACAAGCATTTGCATTTTTTTTTCCCAATTCCCACCCACCACTTTTCCACCTCTGAATCATCAACCGAATCGCATAGGCAAAGAAAAGTGTGCCAGCAATGAGTTGGAAGATGAAAGCTCCGATGAAAAGGCGCATACACGTCAATTTTAGAGAATAAATCAATGCGACAGGTGAATCCCATTGCTGTAAAGGCCACAAAGAGGTGTCAGAAGAAATCTGAAAACAGAATATACACATTACAAAAGAGGGGAAAGAGATCAGATATCATTTTCTGATTTCAGAAATCAAAGGTTACAGCTAGAAAGTACGGCTTGATTACAAGTACGATCAAGAAAGGTTTTTGGTCTAGATTGATCTATTGCAAAGTGAGATTTTTCACGTTGTTTATCTCGTAAAGTGATATTTTTCACGTTGTTTATCTCGTTGTTAGTCAATGGCTGACTATTGTACGAGGCAATGGCTGACTATTGTACGAGGCAATGGCTGACTATTGTACGAGGCAATGGCTGATTATTGTACGAGGCAATGGCTGACTATGGTACGAGGCAATGGCTGATTATTGTACGAGGCAATGGCTGACTATGGTACGAGGCAATGGCTGACTATGGTACGAGGCAATGGCTGATTATTGTACGAGGCAATGGCTGAATGCAAGGCTATATTGAAGAATAATATGATGATAAGCTTGGTTTAAACGTATAAAGCAAAACATAAGTATTAAGTGATTGATTGATTGAATCAAGTTTTACCAAATCATTTGTGTAATCGAAAATCCCAGTAGCGTAGTTGATTGACAAGACGAGAATTCCAAAAGGACCCAACGAATATGAGAAGGGATAAAGGAGTTTTGTGTATTTCAAAAGTGAAGCAGCCTGAAACATGAACTAGGTTTTTGATGATTAAAGAGGTCAGAAGAGTCAGAAGTTCTTTAAAATCTCAAAATACAAGCCATACAAGCCATATTTTATAAACCTTTGCCGTCGACAACGAAATCCCGATTCGATAGTAATAAGTGATCGATATGGCCAAGATTATGTACAGTACACTCACGAAATAGAGACACTAAAGAGGTTGAAGAGTTTCAGTTAAACAATTTTTTTGCCTATCAATACAAGGATAAATGCATGTTTTTATAGAGCTCACTTTTGCTAGAATTTAACTCACAAAGAATATGTGCATCAGTATGGGAGATAACTTTAGTTTTGATATCGAGTAAAACCCGAGGTATGGCTCGACCATTACAGGTGAGAGAATTGATGCAGTGATGTCACAGAAGAGGCCGCTTAACTGAAAAGCAGAATTTAAAATCGTCGAATGAGCGAAATCTTATTCACCACAGTGTTAACGAGAGCCCATTTATAAATGAACATGTGACGGGGAGAATATTTGATCACAATAAAACTCGTCAATAAACAAATCACTAAATAGATTTGTTTTTTGTTGAGATTTTCTTGAGAAAAGGTTTCAGCTCACTATCTGGGACTTACTTTTAAAGTAAGGTAAGTCCCAGTTCTGCCTCGCTTTGGAATAAAGAGATTCACTTGACAAGAATGAAAGTCTTTTTATTGTTAAAGCAGAACCTCCAGTTCGGCTAACATTAGGAAAATAGAAACTAGAAACTAGAAACTCGAAATTTGGACTTTAAACAGTCTGTGCCAGGCTGGCTATGAGTTGTATTTGAGCTTTTAAATTTTTGCTTCATTTTATTTTTAAAATCCAAGATTCGTTAAATATACCCAAATCCAGACCACCAAAAACGAGATACAAAATCGAGCAAATCTCCGTAGCGTCAACTGATAAGTAAAGCATTGATTCAAATCTGAAAAGCTCACATTTAAGCTTAAGGATTATCAAGTTGAAATCGTGAGAAATGAGACCTTTAAATGGCAACAAAAACTTTCGCCTAACATCACTTCAATCAAAAAAAATTCCTAAATTTTGAGCGTTTCCATTTTGAGCTCAACACATGGGTGTCTGCAAAAAAAAACGCTATAGATTAAAATGTTTCCAAAAATAAAACAACGAAGAATTCTGTTTTTAATTTCACAAATCGAAAAACCATCGCAAACTTTTGGGCTGAGATCTCACCCAAACTTTTCACCTGTCTCATTAAAAAGTTTTCACAGAAATTGATTAACTTTTTGATAAATGTGATAATGTGATTATTGTGTGTGCAGAATGTAGTTAAAATAATGGGATCAATCTTTAAATTACATCAATAGTTAAAATAATGGGATTAATATTTGAGAAGTTGATAGAAAGAAAGCGTTTTCTAAAAGAAAACGACCGTACTGCTAGTTTGCACTCGATCAGAATCTTTCTAAGTGGCAAAAGCTACCGTAAATACTGTAAATGAAACTCATGGGTTATTGTTTTTTTCCTTCCCCTCTGGGGTGGATTACTATTAGAGGGTGGGTTACTTTCTAAACCGTCACCCAAGTCACTAAATCAGGAGACTTCAAATCAGGTTATTTGTCTTGTTTTAAAGTTTTTTTATGCGTTTTTTAGCAATGCTGGCTATTTTTATAGATACCTATACTTTTTATTCTATTAGCCAACTAGAGTAGGGCGAAATTTTTATGTTTATAAGACTGAACAATTAAACTGAACAATCCCCCCCCCCCCCCCCCCCACACACTTAAGAATTACCCCCCACTTTCAACTATAGACTTACCCCACCAAGAATTTCACCTTGGGGCGGTAATAGTCAAGTCGTGGGAGGATAATTGTTTAGTTTTCCCCTAAAATCTAAAACATTAATCGAACTAAACAAAATTTTCGTTTTAAAACGTCATCTCTAATTGTGCGTAAAGTGGTGTACTGAAGGGGGGGTGGGTGGGTGGGTTATTAGAGCTATTAGAGGGTGGGTTACAATTACAGTATTTACGGTAGTTTAAACGTTTTTTCAAAATGTTACTTGATGGATTTTCTTTTTTCTACCGTACTTTCGTCTTTATCGATTGATTCCAGATATTCAATCGATCTGCTCGTGGTCACAAATCCAGCCAATTCACAGATAAAACCGCCAGAGGCCAGCGAAAATTCATTCTTCTCCGTCTGCTCTCGAACTTTCGGAAAGATGCCTTTAAACAATCAAATCAAAGCATCGAAATCGGGCAACGAGCTCTTCAAATCTGATACACGTGAGTGTTTTTTGGTTTCTTTCTGTGCTTAGTCTTGTTAGAATATAGATATGGTTTAAGTATTTCAGTATAGGATTAGTATTAGCGTTGAGAAAACTAGGTTGCGTAGTGTGTTTACTTGCAGATGAGTTGGTTAAGATCTTTCTAGCTTTTCTCATGAGAAAAGAAAAGTTGAGCAAACTTTCAGAAAGCTTTTTTCTAATGAGTTATAACGGGGCAACTTGCCCAAAATTTTCAAACGAAAGATTTTAAATCGTGACAGATTTGTTTGATTAGTTTGCTTTTATCATTTGCTACTTGCATCAGTGTAGGCAGTAGCTGCTCAGCACCAACTCAAGCTATAGTGGGCACAATATGTGTTTAGCATGCGACACTCATTTCATGGCTTAATGGACACTAAAATTTAAGATTTTCTTAGGTTCTCGAGATATTTAAAAGACTAAACAAATCTACTTTTTACTTTACCGATATTTTTTCTTTTTTCAGAATACACCTGCCAAATGCAGAAGATGTCTGAGTTGGTGTCAACAATCGATGTAAAGGATGACGACATTTCTGGAGGATCAATCGAATACGATGAATTCTCGGAGAATCGTCTCTTCATCTCAAACTTCCCTTTTGAATGGACTGAAAAGGAATTGCGCGAGTTTTTGAAAGAGTACGTGTAACAGTTTGTTGCTTTTTTAACATTTAATGTTTAGTTATGGACCGGTTGAATCGGTGGAAATTGTTTACAACGAGCGCGGAAGCAAGGGATTTGGATTTGCTACAATCAACGATGCGGAACGTTGTTTGAAAGCTCGACGGACGCTGAATCACACAATTGCTAATGGTAAGTTTTAATTGTAGAAGCTTGTTAGACTTGACTGGAATTCCTAGGATTAAACATATATAAAGACAAGTTTAGTTTTTTGAATCGTTATTGATTGATTACGATTAAATTGTTTTATCTTTAGGACGTCGAGTTGAAGTTCGTCGTGCACACAAGCATAAGCGAGCCACCAACACTGGACCACCACAAGGACAAAAGCAAAACACAGCCGAAATGCTTCAACAGATCCAAAGTAGGCTTGCACTTTGTTGCTTGTTCACTCACTAGTTTAGACCTGAATGCTTTGCTGATGGCTCAATTCCAACTTTCGCAGCTGCAACAACCCATGGCTCTTGCCCAGGCGGCGCTTGCTCAACCAGCAGTTCTTACACTTCTTCAGAATCAACTTGCTGCGAGTGAGCTTGCTGCTCAATGAATTTATGATTTCTGGTTTTAGATGCTCTTGCTGGCCTTGGTAACTCGTGTGCTGATCTCTCATCTTTCTCCAACCCTGCTCTTGTATCAACAATGGCTTCGCCCGCGTTTGTGCAGCCTCAATCGCAAACCCAAACCCCTGTTGGAAGCGGACGAGAAGCGGTGAGAAATGTTAAAAGATAAGCGCTTATTGGTTGTTTTAGTTCAAGGCTTCTATGCGTTCAAAGGTTGGTCGGGAGAACGTACAACAAGAAGCTCCAACATCGGTATTTGTTCTTAACGTATCGTTTTTAAAAGCGTTTAACTTTAGGGTGTGGATGGCTTTACACAGAACATTTGGGACTACTCACCACGACAAAGAATTGAAGTCAACAGCACTCCTCGCACCTACAGGCTTTTCAACACTCCGAAGATTGGTCTGCGCCGTGCCTTTGATCGCAACGAGGTTTGGTTTTACAATTTAATTATGTATCAATTTCTTTTCTTACAGCCAATCGTTGCTTCGACGCAAACTATTGGATATGATGATGAAGGACACATCGAGATTGGCCAAATTCCACTTTGTACATCGACTCCTTTACGTCAAGAGTTTCGTCATGAATTCCCACATGACCGCTCTTTTTCGGTAAGGATTTGGTTGCTCTGGGCACTTAGCAAATATTTTAGATGCCGGATATGCACAAACTTGGCCACGAATAACTAATGCAAAACAAATTGATGGGCAAAGAATTTGACCTTATTATTGTTATTGGGACATGTCTTGTACGCTCACATGTATATCCTTTCGTTTATCTAATATTTTTGTTTTAACCTTTACATTGCTTGGTTTTTGAGTCGTTCGACGACCATCCAAATTGTTACGTTTTCACGTTGTATATTGCAAAACTGTCCTAGCACCAACTGTTTAACTCAATTTTTTACTTTTTTATTTTGTTTGTTTGTGCAAAGCCATTAGGTTTGTTTATAGTTGTACGACTATTATGGGTGCTTTTTTCTTTGCAGCAATAAAATTTATATTTTTAAAGAAGTTGGGTAAATGTAGTGGAAAATGAGTTGGAGATCGGTGATTTATAATTTACTAACGAAACTAGTTAATAATTGCAATGATTTTCGAGATAGATTTTTCCGAATTGTTTATGCCCTGGTGGTGTAGTTGGCTCGAGTCTAAATTGAGTTCGGATTAGGCATTATAATTAGGCACATAGTAGTTAAGTGTTCTTTTTTTGTCTCACTTTTTTATTTGAGATTGTTTCTTCAAAAGTGCGTCCTTTTGTTTCGGGTAGTTGAGAGTAGAGAATGAAAAATGCGAGAATCATCGTTGGGATGAACAAAATCCCATAGGTAATCGCGGCACCAAAAAACAATTTCATCGGGAGGAAAATCGCCAACAAAAGAGATCGTCTGAAAATAGATTCAAACTGGTCATTGCGGATTGTTGTTATTCTATATATTTTTTGCCTCAACCCACCCAGTAGCCATCATCAAATTGAACCACGTCTGTGCCTGTGGCCGCACATTTGGAGCCACCAATTCGGCGGGTAAAATGAACGATAGCGGAACAACAGTGATGCAAGCTGTGGATCCCATCGCCCCTATGTGTGTGTGTAAACGCGGGAGGAGCGCAAGTTGAGGGCGGCTTTAGCTTTAGCGGCCCGATGCCAGTAATCCTTAGGGATACTGAGACTGAAGCCTAAGTGCCAGTACATACTAACTTTTTTTAAAATTAATTGTCTTACATTTTTCATAACTTATTCTTTTAGCCGAAAGACAATTGCTGCCAAAATTACTGTTGTCCTCTTGAGCTTTGATAAGATGTGGGGGAGGACTTGTCCGGATACGTATGGAAACTTGATTTCATTCGTCGATCAAAGCCGCTATTGGAGTGGCGATCAGCTGATGAGCTGGAGCCGAGAGTGGTGCCACATCGCGAAGGCGACAAATATTGTAACGTATACTTATAATAAGACAAATATACTTTGAAATCGTTAAATATCCAATATGCCACTAAGATTTGCATCTTTTTGAAAGTGTTTTAGGTATTCGAGAAAGCTATAGACAACAATGAATCGACCTTGGTCAAGCGGAGAGTGGCCTTCGCGTGGAAGCTCCATTTCTGCAGTTATCTGGTCGGCGTGAAAGACGTATTTGTTTTCAAAATTTTTTAGTTACTAGAGCAAATAAAAAAAAAAACTCGACACGGAATTGTACAAGAAGCTGCAAGCGATCTACGACAAACAACTCGACGCCTACAATGAATTGAGTGACGTGGCCAAGATAGTGAAAACAGAGGTTTGTTATAATAACTTTCTTTTCATCGATAATTCAGTTTTAATGACTCAGTTTTTAGTTATTTCCAGAGCCTCGGCATTCAAATGGATTTGTACAACGGCTGGCATGACTAAACTGTTCAAACTCTTGCTGCTCAACTGGGTGAATTACACGGTGACAGGCCTGAAAGTGGCCCTCAACGTGAGTCAAATTTTTTTAGTTTAAAGAATAATTTGCAACTTCTAGTAAATAAATAATAATTGAGCGCTTTTTTTTGTCTAACTGTGGCAGTTGAAGATTCTTTAGGGGCCAAACGCGACAAAACCGTTGACACCAAATGATTGGATGGATTTGGTGGAATTCCTTCGGTCAATCAATGCCAATCTTGGTGTGTTTTCTGAAAGAGCTCAAAAAAGACTGAAAGATGATGATTACCGCGAGGAGATCACCAATTGACTGTCCGTGGAATGAATCAAATCAGATGAATAACTTATTGCGGAGAATTCACGAAAATGAAAGACCAATAAGCAGTTCGCTTATGGCAATTTCATTCAATAACACGTTTATTTACGTTACTCAAATTTACGATTTTTATATTTAAAGTTTCATTTCTCTAAAGTCATAGAGAGAAAATTCGAAAATTCGAAAAAGCGATAAAATTTTTCTCATTTCCCCAGCTGTCTTTTGAAGATCTCCCCTTTTGTGTCCCTTTTTGAGACTCGAAATAAGAGGAATGGGAATAAAAACCATTCTACTGTTAAACTAATAGCATCGAGGCCCAAAATAAGGATTTCCCCCCCAACATCTGGCTTGCTTCTTTCTCCCAAAACTTCCATTTCGATGCCTTTGTGTTTTTATTTTCAAAAACAATTTGCTAAAAAAATTTTGCTTTATGTTTTTGTCGATTTGCACATTTTCTATCTCTTCATCTTGTTTACGATTAGTCACTGTTTTTCCCTTTGAAACCAACCCTCCGTTGCTTCCACTTTTTTTTTTGAAAATCAATGAATTTTTCAAAAATTGCTTCTTTATGCTTCACAAGGTCAAGGTGGCCTTTTAGTACGAGAGCCATGGGGCTTTATATAATAGAATCGGCTTTGCTGATTCTGAATATGCTTTTGCTTTTTCCAAAGGAGCTCTGTAACGCGTGATATCTAGCATCAAAGTTTAGGCAGATTTTCGGAGTTCTTATAAGCTTTTTTTCCCTTCCTCAAACGGCGAGCTGGCGGCGCAGTGGATAGTCTGCTCGCCGCCAGAACGGTTCAAGGTTTTCCCCGCCCGGATTCGAGTTCGCTCTCAGTATATTCCTATTGCTTTTTTTTTGAGGAAACGATTAGAGAGTTTGAATTGAATTCGACTATTTTGTGGAATTCATTTGAATTCCATTCCGCGTATTGATTTCCACTACGTTTTGCATAAAGCAGTCGTGAGCAATGTTCACATTTATGTTCCTAAATCATTTCAAAAAATTCTTCCGTTAAACAAAGTCAAAATAAATAAATCCTGATGCCATAAACATTTTCGAATCATTCTCTGAAAAAAGCAAAAAGCATCTGCAGGGAGCGAACCCGAACCCGGGCAGGGAAAACCTTAAACCGTTCTGGCGGCGAGCAGACTATCCACTGCGCCACCAGCTCGCCGGAAGAGAAAAAAAAGCTTATAATGACTTCGAAAATCGGCCTAGACTTTGATGCCAGATATCTCGCGTTACAGAGCTCCTTTCGAAAAAATAAAAGCATATTCAGAATCAGCATAGCCGATTCTATAAGTCCACCTTGACCTGGTGCTTTTCCCTAGTGAGATGACACAACAAAAAGCGACAACGACAAACCTCCCGACATCCAAACAAGGACGACTCGTTTGGGTGAGTGAGCGTTTGCTTTGAGAGACTTCAAAAGCATGTATACAATACTTCAAGAATTTAGACGTATAAGTAATATTTAAAAATTTAAAACACACACATAACATAACATCAACAATACAATGTTTTTTTTTTCTTTGAATACACACGGAATTTTGTTTTTTTCTTTAAGCTTTTACGGTTTCGGGTGACAGTATGAGCAATCTAATTGGTTTTTTTTCTGCTTGAAAAGCGTGCAGAGTAAAACTTTCTAAATGAATGAGCATTTCTTTAAATGTAGACAACAAGATTTTTAGGTTACCATTTGAAATCGATCATTGGACATTTGATAGCTGAACATTTGATAACCAAACATTTATTTAGCTCTAACCGAATGCACTAAGAAAAATCCATTTTTTCGGTATTGATAAACGCATAGCTTTTTTTATATCACATTCTTTATTTTAAGTAATTATCCTGCCAAAATTTTATCTAAAATCAACATCTTTATCACAAAAAGAAATAAGTGAAATTAAAGCCACAAAATAGATTTTAAAAAATCAGCAACGCATCAAAAAAAATAGAACATCACAAGGTTAAATCAAACTCGACAACGTATCTAAAAATGTATTGGGTTGGTGAATTGAAAACTGCGAATCCTCGAATTGGACATTGACTTCTCCTCAAATCAAGGCTAATCTCAATCTATTGGATTGGTGAATTGAAAACTGCGGGCTATTGTCATCTGTGACAGTTTGAGCACTTTCTTCAAAAGAAACCCATTCCTACTAATCACATATTTCGTTGGGGTTTTATTTTACAGTTGGAATCAACCCGTGCAAGCTACAATTCACGATGAGTTGTATGTCTTTTTATCATCATCTTTACATTAAAAGCTTATTGAGCATTTCGAAATCATTTTATAGTAACATTGAACTTTGGTTTCACTTCAATTATTGAAAAACAAAAAGTTTTTTTCTTTTACCAAATAATGAACGAAAGTAACTTTAGTAGGAAGCTTGAAAGGGAATTAAATAAAAGGTAATTTTATTTTCTAAAACATTAAACAAAGTAAATGGCCGTTGACATTGTTAACAAACCAACTAACTGAATAGTGTAGCCATTATGAATTGTTTGCTAGTTAAACATGATGATTAATGCTGTATTGCAAAGTGATGCAATACTTTTGCAAACAATGTAATTTACTTTTATTTATATTCGAATTGCTTTTCGTTTGATAATGTGTGGATATTCTTGATATTCTATGATATTTTGTCAGAAATAATTATATATTTATATAAATTTTCCTTGTTACCTCATTTTGTACATTCACTGGTTATTTACGGATCGGAAGGAAAAAGAGAATGATGAATAGGTCAATCCAGACAACTTTGGTAACTATTGGTCCTGGTCGATGTGAGTAAGTTGTTGTTGTGTTGCTCCAGCTACGATAAGTTTATCTTTAATAAATTTATCCATATGTAAAGTTCGAAGACATTCTATGGTAGGAATTGAAATTATTGGGTTGGTGAATTGAAAACTGCGGGCTATTGTCATCTGTGACAGTTTGAGCACTTTCTTCAAAAGAAACCCATTCCTACTAATCACATATTTCGTTGGGGTTTTATTTTACAGTTGGAATCAACCCATCACAAAATGAAATCAAATTCGACAACCTATCTAAAAATGTACAAAAAGCGTGCAAATCATTTGGATTGACTAAACTCATAAATACAAGCGTTAACTTTTTCGTCGCATAAATATCGGTTATCAAATGTCTGGTAATCTTTTAGATCGACTGTGAGATGACAGGCCTTGATTGGGACGTGCATACACTCGTCGAAATCGCTGTTATTGTTACCGATCAAGAATTAAAGGTGAGAAATCAAAAAGCATATATTTTTTTTCAATACAATTTCAGTTTCAGATAATCGCTGAGGGCCCTGATATTGTCATTCACCAAACAGAAGATGTGCTTAAGAAGATGAACGAGTGGTGCCGGAAAACATTTCCGGTTAGTTCTATCAAGTGATTTTCGGACATTTATTTCCTAGATATTTGTTTCCCAAACGTTTCATCACCTCGGCTTTTGCTCCCCACGATAAGCGGACACGCGACAAACATTATCAAAATCAAATCGAAACAAATGCAATGTGATCCCAAAAAAATATGAAAAAAGAATGTCGGACCAAAAGCCGAGGTGATGAAATGTTCGGGCACCCTATCAAGTTAACATTAATTACCCTAAAATTCCATAGATAAGAGCGGTTTTCGCTAAAAAATACTTTTTTCTGAAATTTTGTTATGGATATTAATTTTTTTCCTTATTTTTATTTTTTTGTTTTTTAACCTTACGTTTTAGATTTTTTTATTTTAGAAATCATGCAACGTCGCAAGTCTTATACGGCGGCTTTCAAGCTTGATGCGGTGAAGCACCGGGATGCGCATGGAACATTAGCGGCAGCTATTCATTTTAATGTGACTGAAGGAATGATTAGAAAATAGGTTGCGGATAGGGATATCCTCGAGGAGATGCCAGCAACGAAAAGAGCCCGGCGTTACAAAAGGCCAAGCGTGGAAGAAATTGAGGAGAAAATTTACAATTGGATTGTTCAAAAGAGAGACCATAATAGAGCAGTCAAAATAAATGAGCTAAGAACCAGAGAAGTTGGCAGAAGAGCACGGTTACCACGAGTTCAAGGCATCCCCGCGTTGGTGCAGCTTATTCATGGCACGAAAAAAAATTGTCGATACGAAGAAGAACAAGTGACCAAGACAACCACTGCCATGTGATCATCAGCAAAAATGTTCTTTTTTCCGGAAGTTTGTCGCAGCTGAAGCCTTAAACATTTCTCGTCACAACTTAGGAAATGTCGATGAAGTTCCGGTTCCCTTTGATGTCGTGTATGAACGGACTGTGGATGTCAAGGGGCGAGACAACATAAAAATCGATTCCACTGGTCATGAGAAATCAAATTTTACAGTTGTACTTGGTGTGACTGCTGCTGGTGAAAAACTCAAGCCGATGTTCATTTTTAAGAAGAAGTTGATGCCAAAAGGCAAATTCCCGGCAAATGTCATCATCAAAACAAATGAAAAAGGTTGGATGAATCAAGAGCTGATGAAAGAATGGATCACTGAAGTATGGAATCAGAAGCAACATTGCAATTTAGACCCTGATCGGTCCTTACTCATTTTCGACTCTGCTCGTTGTCATATAACTGACGAAGTAAAGCAATTCTGCCAACAACACAGTAAAATCGCTGTAATACCAGGTGGTATGACCAAAATTCTGCAGCCGTTAGACGTACAGTAGCGGACAAAGACTTAGCATAATTTAGTTTTTTTGTAATAAAACTCGCTGTTTGTGCAATATTTACCTAAAACTTCGAAATATAATAATAAAACATGATGTTTTAACAAAAACAATTGGTATTTAGCCAAATAGACTTTCAGAAAAAAATTTTGAAGATTTTTATACAAAACTGGTGCGACAAAGACTTAGCATATTTTTAATAACATATTAACTAAAGCTGGTAACAAATGTTTTTGAAATCCAAACAACAAAATTCGTTTTTAACAATTAATACTTCGTAGGAAAACCATTCGAGGCGATGACAACATCACATCTGCGAGGCATGGACTCGATAAGTTCATCGATCGTCTTTTTTGGAATCTCCGACCACTTCTTGGCTAAGAGATCAAATTTATCCTGAGCATTTTGATTTTTAATCCCTTTGCACATTCTTTCCAGCGTTTCCCACAAATGCTCAATAGGATTCAGGTCGGGGCTTTGGCTTGGCCAATCCATAACGGCAAAGTTTTGTTGCGACAGCCAGTTTTGAACGAGTCGAGCCTTGTGTTTTGGATCGTTATCATGCTGAAAAGTGATATTTGGAGGCATAGTTTGAACTACATTTGGAAGCGTATGGTTTGTCAAAATGTCCAAGTAAACTTGTTGAGCCATAATCCCAGTGATTCGCTTGAGTGGTAGAGTTCCATAAGAAGAGAAGCCACCCCATACGAGAACGTTTCCGCCGCCATGTTTGACTGTAGGGAGAATGTAGTTTTTATTGTATCTTTGGTTAACTGGACGTCGAATATACTGAATTCCATCAGAACCAATTAGGGAAAACTTACTTTCATCTGTGAACAAGCAATCTTTCCACTGCTGAAGAGTCCACCCTTGATGCCCCTTAGCAAACTTCACTCGGGCTTTTCGATTTATTTTTTGCTGAAATCAATGGTTTCTTGGCAGGGCGTCTCCCGAATAGTCCTTTAGCGTTTAGACGACGTTGCACCGTTCGCGGAGTGATCTTATCTTTCAAAGAAGTTGGTAAATCTTTGTAGATCTCAGTTGCAGGCTTCTGAGGATTGCTTTTTGATAAGGTTTGAATCCTGTTATCATCTCGAGTAGTTGTTTTCCGTGGAACACCAACATTCTTTTTTGCAATTGTGCTTCTTTTTGTCTTGAAAAGCTTCAAAATTGTCGAAACAGTCGACTGGTGCACCCTCAGAATGGTAGCAATTCGATCCTGTCTCTCACCGGTTTGATGAAGAGCCACAATCGTATCCCGAATAGCAGGCTGGAGTTGTTTCTTGCGACCCATTGACTGAAATTAATAAAATAATAAATTTCAATCAAATTATAGCTCAAATTAAGAAAAAAAACACAGAAAAATAATCAAAATTACTGGGAAATGCAAAATTATACTAAGTCTTTGTCGCACCATTTTTGTATAAAAATCTTAAAAAAAATTTTCTGAAAGTCTATTTGGCTCAATACCAATTGTTTTTGTTAAAACATCGAGTTTTATTATTATATTTCGAAGTTTTAGGTAAATATTGCACAAACAGCGAGTTTCATAATAAAAAAACTAAATTATGCTAAGTCTTTGTCCGCTACTGTAGGTATCAACAAACCATTTAAGGACAAATTGAAGGATGGCTGGGAAAAATGGATGGCAAACGAAGCCAATGCAAATTATACAAAAAGCGGAATCAGAAAAAGAATGAGCTACCATTTTTGGTCAGCGAAAGTTTTTTTTCCATCTCTTCTGACACTATCATACACAGCTTTGAAAAAGCATTGTGTGATGTTGAAAATCTCAAAAACGATTTTTCCTGTATGGATATAAACGATGATGACGATGTAGAAATTGAAAATATTAGTTAAATTATTGTTACTTTTGTTGTTGTTGTTGTTTGGTTTTATAATAAATTAAAATATTAAAAAAAATTTTTGCAAAAATTAAACCGCTCTTATCTATGGAATTTTAGGGGTAATTAAAAAACAAAAACAAAACAAATCAAATCAGTTTTTTTTATGTTATGTTTCTAGGAAAACGGGCTTTTACAGCAAATTCGGAAGAGTCAAATTTCGATGGAAGAAGCCGAAGCACAAGTAGCATTTATCTTAACTACTTGCTCAACGTAGAAATAGTTAACATAGAAAGTTAAGAATTCAGAAAAAAAGCTTTATCGTGTTTATTTTAAAAATTGAAAACTTAGCTTAACAGTTGAAACTAGGCAGATCAAAAACCTCAAAAGGACCGTGGGTCGAACCTTAAGTAGCAATTTAGCCATTTGAAATTAAAATTTGTGCAATTCGTTTACGATTGTTTACAATTGGTTTACAATTTTCTAGATTTTGTCCTTCCTCGAGCCATTGGTGGAAAAGGGAACCGCTCCAATTGCAGGAAATACGGTCACATCAATTTTTTCTCCTTTTTTTGTTTTTATCAATTTTAACAGGCAAAATTGTCAACGATTTTCGTTTCAAGGTTTGGATGGATCGAGTCTTCATCAAGAAGTACATGCCTCGATTGGACGAATATCTCCATTATCGAGTGCTTGATGTGACTGCGGTTTATCAGGTGTAAAGACGTCAAAAAATGTTTGAATTTTCTCTAGATTTCGAGTCTTTGGTATCCCGAGGAACACAAATCGGTACCGAAGAAGAGAAGATTGCATAGGTTTGTTTAATTTGAAACTGTTTAATTTGAAGCTGTTTAATTTGAAGCTGTTTAATTTGAAGCTGTTTATTTCAAGCTGTTTATTTCAAGCTGTTTAATTTGAAGCTGTTTAATTTGAAGCTGTTTAATTTGAAGCTGTTTAATTTGAAGTTGTTTATTTGAAGCTGTTTATTTGAAGCTGTTTAATTTGAAGCTGTTTAATTTGAAGCTGTTTAATTTGAAGTTGTTTATTTGAAGCTGTTTATTTCAAGCTGTTTAATTTGAAGCTGTAGACAAGTGAAAAATAGTGAAAGTTCTAAATTCATAGCATTCACTTTTTCTAATAAGTAAGACTTTTATAAAAAGTAAGCTTTTTATAAAGGTTTGTCTTGAGTGAGAGTTAGCACTATGAGTTCTCTTGTTTGACTTGTTTGACTTTTAACAATCTGTTCCCTTCAAAAACTTCTGTTCAGAGCACTCAGCGACATCAGAGAGTCGATCAACATGCTGAAGTTCTTCAGAAGAAACATTTTCAAACAAAAAGAAATGACTTCGAACATCCGGAAAATCCAAAAAACTAATTTGTTTTTGAAAGAAGTTGTATACAGTTAAAGCTTCTCCTCTAATTTTTTTTTAAATGCTCACAATCAGAATTTTTGTCTTGTAAAGCGTTATAGAGAAAATTTCATTTATTTTCGTTTATGAATTGATGATTTTCATGTTATAAAGTAGATTTAATTTGTTTCAAAAATAAACAAAATGTACTTTTTGATGAAGACTTGCTTCATTATGGCTACTTTAGATCTTTAAACATGAATGCCGAATATGCACAAACTTTGCCACGAGTAACCGATGCAAAACAAGTTGATGAGCAAAGAATTTGGCCTTATTATTGTTGGGAAATACGCTCCTCAAATGCCTATCCTCTCGTTGAGCTAATATTTTTGTTTTAACCTTTACATTGCTTGATTGTGTTTGATGTTTTTGTTTTGATAATTCATAATTTACTAACAAAAACTGAGTATTAATGACAATGATTTGATAGATTTTTGGGAATTGTTTATGCTCTGGTGGTGTAGTTGGCTCGAGTCTAAATTGAGTTCGGATTAGGCATTATAATTAGGCACATAGTAGTTACCGTAGATTCTGTAATAGTACCCCACCCCCATAATGACAGTGCGGAGTGTTGCGTAGTCGAGCTTTGAACGAGTTTTTCTCGACACTAGTTTATGCTACAATGCGCGCTTAGGTATCAACAAATAGCCCTGAATTTCAGCTATTTTTTGATACCAAAGACGCATTTTTTGAAAGTACGGGCGCTTTGAAAAAAAATGAAATACTAAAAAACTTTTGCGACTACGCGACTGTACGAGGGGGGTGCGGTACTATTACAGTATTTACGGTAAGTGTTATTTTTCGTCTCACTTTTCTATTTGAGATTGTTTCTTCAAAAGTGCGTCCTTTCGTTTCGGGCAGTTGAGAGTAGAGAATGAAAAATGCGAGAATCATCGTTGGGATGAACAAAATCCCATAGGTAATCGCGGCACCAAAAAACAATTTCATCGGAAGGAAAATCGCCAACAAAGAGATCGTCTGAAAATAGATTAAAAATGGTCATTGCGGATTGTTGTTATTCTATATATTGTTTGCCTCAACCCACCCAGTAGCCATCATCAAATTGAACCACGTCTGTGCCTGTGGTCGCACATTTGGAGCCACCAATTCGGCAGGTAAAAAGAACGATAGCGGAACAACGGTGGTGCAAGCTGTGACCGCGAAAATGGCCACGACAACAACGAGACTCCAACCGAGAATCATGTTCTGAAAATGAATCAATGAGCTTTATTGGGTGAGATCTTAGAAACTCCAGTAGTCAGTAGTCAGGTATTTAAACCATAACCTTTGTTGTATCATATCCATACAACAGTGCGACAACAGCTGTATTCACAAGGATTAGTGCCAAAATTCCGAAGAGTTCCAATGGGCGGCGGCCGAGTTTTTCCACCATGTATGATGAGAGGAAGATTCCAAACTAAACTTGTAATCGTTACAATAGATCACATTGTAAAATGAAGTAAAGGCAAACAGAAAACTAAGTAGGGAAGCCAACCAGTGGCATGGTGTTGATAAAAACGTTTGCACTTGTGGCAGCGAACATCGATAGACCGGTGTTCATCAAAATGTCAACGGCGAACGATTGGACAACTAAAAATGATTGATGGGAGTTGCTTTTTTTTTGGCTTCACCTGTAATTCCACTGAAAACATGCGCGAACATGACACATCCACCGACAAGTGTTCCCCAACGGGAAATCGGATTGGCAAAGATCTGAAGGATTTTTTGGGTAAAAAGATGAATTTATTTAATATATATGTTACGTCCGAATCTGAGGAGACGTCCGGATCGGAGATGGACGTCTCCTCAGATTCGGACGTAACATATATACTAATTAATATTTAATATTTAATATATACTAATTAATATTTAATATTTAATATATACTAATTTATATTTAATATTTAATATATACTAATTTATATTTAATATTTAATATATACTAATTTATATTTAATATATACTTTTTAAGCCCATTATCCAAAGTGCAAATATTCTTGAAAACTCGCCTCGAAAAGCCCGATCGCTCTCTGCGGGCCATCTTGCGAATTGCCCTTATCGGTGCTCAGTAAATGCTTTGCCTGAATATTTATTAGTGATTCATAATCAGATCTATTAGATCAAAGATTTAGTTAATAAGGCTTTAAATTTATTTATTTATGATCAATACGTGAATGATTAATCAATACGTGCATGATTGATCAATACGTGAATAATGATCCAAGCACCTCATCTCTTGTCACTCCATGATAAAACTTGATGCTTCGCTCGGCCGCCAGAATCTTCTCCTCGTTTTGAAGGACTCTAAAATATGAGATTTATCAATATCTATACAAATATAGATTTAAATTATATAAGAAATATATAAGAAATATAATTTTTTACACTGGACTCTCCGGGAAAAACAGTGAAACGAAGATGAGAGCGATGGTGAAGATCAGCTCGGCCACATACAATTTCCACCAATCGTTTACGTTTCCCCAAATCTGGATTCGAATTTATTGCTTGAATTCTTAAGCATCGCGTTAGATCGTTAGCTTCAAGTTAGTTTAGTTATTCGTAAAAAATTTACCACAGGCATCGCTAGAATAGCCGAAACGATGATGCCGAGTTGCCCGGCTAAAGCGGTTGACGTCGAGATGACACCACGACATTTTGCCGGGCTGAAATCAATTTTATTGTACCAGTGTTGGTGTTTAAAGCCTATACTATGACGATTTGATCATTAGATGTTGATTAAATCAAAATCTCTCTCACCTACACTCCAGAATATACATCGGTCCGACTCCTAAAGAGATCGCTTGAAAGATTCCCAGAAAAAATCGGGAAATCGCATAGAGAATAAAATCATTTAACTAAAAAGCTTTGTCTTAACATTGTCTTTAATCTTTTTGTCATTTACAAAGTAAGCCATTATGCCAAGAGCAATGCCGAAAGCTTGTCCACAATTCGCCATCGTTAACGCGTGTTTACGACCGAATTTCGAGATTGATTTCTGAAATTTTCGAAATTCGAGATTGATTTGTCGTAGCCGATTATGAATTGTGAGTTTAGGTTAAAAATTGCCGGCGCTACAACGTTTCATTCAAAATCGGCTGGATCCCCGTAGCCGATTATGAATGAGTGGGTCTAGGAGCGCCCAACCATCAAGTATTTAATATCATTCAACGCAGGATCATTAATAATTATGTTAGATTTTTGAAATTAGAAAGATTGGATAAAAAGAAAAAAAATTAGAGCAAAAAATTAGAGCACTTCAAAGTTTCCTCTTGAACAAACAGTTTTTTTGCTCTAATTTTTTTTTCTTTTTATTAAATCTTGCTAATTTTAAAAATTTAACATAATTATTAATGATTCTGCGTTGAATGATACTAAATACTTGATGATTTGACGCGCCTAGACCCACTCATTCATAATCGGCTGAAATCCATAATCGGCTACGGGGATCCAGCCGATTTTGAATGAAACGTTGTAGCGCCGGCAATTTTTAACCTAAACTCACAATTTTGGTACTAATCGACGCAGAATTTAATTAGCTACAAGATGATATAATATTTTCCTCATACATTAAAGGGTTACTCTACTAGAAAGATTTGCCAAATCGGCTACGACATATATATTATAAAGAAAGATCTAAAAAAGCTTTCACCTCAATAAGTAATGATCCGAGAATCGTTCCCCAATAAAGAATTGAAACGATTGGTGACCACATTGTCTGAAGTTTTTCGATGCTTTAATGGGAAAAGTTTACAAAGATTTGCTGTTTGTTGATGATTGAAGACTTACCTCCAATTCAGTTAACTCTAAATAACGTTCATTTTTCTGATAGTACGAGCCATTGACAAAATTGAGGAAAGCCTGTTGAGCCGGGTTGGTTAAAATCATTTGAAAGCAGTAATTGCCTAGATTTCTGTATTGTTGCACAATTTTTGCGTTTACCTGATCCACCAAGTGATATGACCATCGCCGAGAATAAAAGCTTCGTGGATGGCCATGAGGAATCGCTGAGAGAAAGTTTATAAAGAGAAAAGTTAATGGTTTCATTTTTTCTGTACTTTTCGAAAGGAGAAACCCACCTACTCCTTGAGCAAATTCTCATTTGTTATCTCAGGAAAGTGACTAATTCAGTGAAGGGATGTGTTTACAATTCGAAAGACATGGCTAGGAGGCTGGGCCAGAGCCTGAGCCAGAGCTCGAGCCAGAACTCGAGCCAGAGCTCGAGCCTGAGCCAGAGCCAGAGTCAGAGCCAGAGTCAGAGCCAGAGCCAAAGCCAAAGCCAGAGCCTGAGCCAAAGCCTGAGTCAGAGCCAGAGCCAAAGCCAAAGCCAGAGCCAGAGCCTGAGCCAAGGCCTGAGCCAAAGCCAAAGCCAGAGCTCGAGTCAGAGCCAGAGCCAGAGCCAGAGCCTGAGCCTGAGTCTGAGCCTGAACCAGAGTCCGAACCTGAGCCAGAGCCAGAGCCAGAGCCAGAGCCAGAGCTAGAGCCAGAGCCTGAGCCTGAGCCAGAGCCTGAGCCTGAGCCAGAGCCTGAGCTTAAGCTTCAAAGATTTACTACTACAATACTTTGGGAGCTTGGTATCTTGTTAAAGCTTGGCTAGCTTAATATTTTTGTTTTAAAAGATTAAATTAAAAACTCACTCTAGTGTCATTTTTGAAGATTTCGGTAGTTTGCTTTAAAATTTCAAAGTCTTTGAGAAATAAAATGAGTGTGTAGATGAAAAAAGTGAACTGAAAAAGATGAAAGTGTTGATATAAATCTCGAGGAAAAACCGAAAGAGAATAAATAGAAAGGAAAAGAAAATGAATCAACAAAAAGGTGAATCTAGATGACTGACACAACAAAAAAAGAGGGAAAAATGAAAAATATGAAAGAAAAAGGCTGTGATAAGCTCTTTAAAAGTCGATCTTGTTTACAATAAACACTGGCTACCGAATGCGATCATTTGTTTTTGCGATCAAGCATTTGTTTCAAGTAGGGGCGAATGTCTAGCCAAAGGGGGGTTCCCTAAAAAAGGAAAACAAATAGAAAAGATACCTAGGTACAATCATAAGATGTTTGTGAATTTGCGAACAAACTCCATAAAGAAAATAAAGGAAAATATTATTCAGTAAATTTTTGAGTACTATCCAATTGAGTTAAAAACAAAAAAAGCTCAAATTCAAATCTTGATAGTTTACCAGTTAACAGTTAAGGTTTAATTTATCGACTCAACTCTATTCTAAACAATTCTCATTTATTTTATAACACAATTGTGTAAACTTGTGAATTTGTGAATTATAGTGACAACTTTTCGGAAAAGTATCTGGGAAATTTAAAAAAAAAAAAAATACCGACTGGG